GTGTTCAAAACACAGTCTAGACTCCTCCAGGGCAATTTGGTAGTGTGGACTCTCTAATACTCCTCAAGCTAAGATCAAGATCAGTGAAGGCGGCAGGATTTTGCTGTGGTAAAGACTTCAGGTGTCCAAGGAGTTAATGGGAGCTGCTGGAGATTTGGGGGGGGCTGGCCTTTCACTTATACTTTCTTCATCATGAGTAGTCCTTTCTGGTTTCAAGTCAATCTTGATTGGGAAGATATGGCAGCTTCAAGAAAATGTGTAATTTGTTCCAGTTATATGAATTAAATCTTGGGTTGCTGTAAGAGTCATGATTCAATTTTGCATAGAAAAACACATCATGACTTTTCCCACAATCTTATAGGTATAAACATTTAGGATCTGGAGCCACTAAATACTCGAAAGAGTGTATGTTCTGGCTCCCACTTTCTCTCAGGTGAGCATTTGACCATATGGTTCTAGGCTCTTGGAAGGATGGTCAATGGTCCCAGCAGGTGCTGGAGCTGGGTGCCCAGGAGTGACTGTACCCTGAGTCTTAGTAGCACCCAGTCTGCAGTCAACCTGCATTCTCAGTATTTAATGCTGGGAAGTAAGAAGCTAGGCATTCTGGATGTCATTTAAATGATATATATTTATTTTATTATATAATAATGTATGTGTATATATATGTGTGTATACACACATATATATACACACATACATATATGTATACACATAAGGGTTTATATATATATACATATACACATATAGGTGTGCATGTGTGTGTGTGTCTGTGTGTGTGCATTTCTATTATTGAGAAATCAATGGTGGATTACAGGTCAGAGTTATATTTGGCTTGTGCTCCAGAACAAATGACCAGATCCACACCCACCTTGCCTTTCACCCTTGCAGGCTGTCCCATTAGGAGGCGGAACATTGAGAGCCTCCTCCCCACCCAGCATCTCAGTATAATTACATGATAGTATTACACTAAAGTTGCTACCAGCTCCATCTCTTCTTGCCTACACTCCTCTATCAGGATCTATCATGCCTCAGTCTCTAGCCTCCAACATTTTATTTTCAACATTGAGAACTTTTCTGTCATATAACGTGGTCTTGCTATGTTAGCTCATCCTTCCTTAGCTGAAGTTATAGAATAAATCCTTCCAGGCTGAGCCTAGGAGTTCTTTAGAGAAGTGCATGATACACCACATTAATAGTCACATTTTTCTTGAGCAAGCATGTGACCGCTACTGCTCCTCATATGAAAAATTTGATGAAAAATTAAACTAAGGATGTTTTAAATGAGCAGGAGGCTGCTGGCCTGATGCTGTTTCTGTACGTCGAGTGTCTATACAACCAACTGCAGCCTAACTTAGTACATAAGCCCACTGAAAACTTAATTAGGAGTAAAACGAACCCCTGAACCTCCACCAATCACAAGCAGCCAAATGATCAGACGGTGTCCAAATAAGGCAAAAGCCTAGCTGTAACCATGCAAGCGATTTCTGTCCTTTATTTCCCTGTTTTGGCCATTAAACACTTAATACTCACATTGCAGGGTTGAATTTTCTCAACCACTTCTGGTTTCACAGGATCCCCAATTCATGGACTGTTTTTTGCTCAAATAAATTGTTAAAAGTAATTTATCTAAACTTTTTCTTTCTCTTTTTCTTTTTTTCCAAGAGAACTCTTTGATACAGGGTGCATGCACTCGCCAGAGACAGAGACACAGAAAGCGAGAAATCATCCCCTGGGGAGAAGACCACACAGCAATCTCTTCTCCTCTTAGGATTTTGGACATGCACACATACACACCCAGCATGAGTTTTAAGCTGTTGGGTCCAGGACTCAAACCAAAGTCCACTGTATGAGATTCCAGCCACATAACCATTATACCATCTGCTGGTTCCTAAGTGTTTTCTTTTAACAGGTCAATGTTAAAAGAGATATATGGATAGACTTTATTTCATTTCATTCTAATAGTATTTCACCTACCCGATGTTCATAATGGGTTTCCTCTAGACAGTTGGCTGGAGGAGAGGATCATGCTTGCTCCCCATCCAATGGCTCTGTTCTAATGCTTGTCTCTGGTGACTTTCCAGACTTCAAATAACACTTCATCTCTTATAACCTATTCCTTCACCATGACGTTGCCACGCCTCAATCTCCAACCTCCAAAGCTTTTATTCTCTCAAAGACCATCTTCATCTCCTTTTCTGTGATTTTGGAGCAGGGATGTTAGTGCTTGGTTTAGTTCTTGGGTATCATAGAATGACATTAAAACTGTCACCACATAGTGAGCCAGAAACATCAATTATAAAGACAAAGAGGGGTGCTTTTAAAGATAGGTAAGGTTTATAGCTCTGTTGGTGAGGAAGAATTCGAAAATGCAATCTGGAGCCAAGCAGTAGGTCCTCTGGGCTCAATCAGTCAAGCACTGAGGCAACCTAACCATGGCTGCATATTTATCAGTAGTGAGAATCAGCTGTTATGTGCCTTGCGTTCAGTGGAATAAGAAAGGGGACACCCTATTTGTAGGACTTGAAGTTTTCTATTACCGTAACAGGTGATAAAAGGGTTTGATTTGGTAGATGGGATATTAAAAAATCTACTTGTGTGTCTGTAATTTAAGAATCCCCTTTCCAATCAAAATCTTGGTTTGGTTTACAATCTCATTCCCTTAGTTTTTAGAATTTACTGCCCTAGGATGTGTACTCTCACCAGAGAAAGAGAGAGAGATAGTGAGAAGGAAAATGAGAAATCACACCCCCCCGCCCCCAAGAGGGCATGGCCATGCTGCAATCCCTTCTCTTCTCAGGATCTTGGGCACATGCACATGTGACCGGCATGAGTTTCAAGCCACCAGCTCCAGAACTCAAACCGCAGTCGACCATGTGGGAGTCCACCAATGTAACCGCCATGCCACCTGCTGACACACTCAAACCGCAGTCGACCATGTGGAAGTCCACCAATGTAACCACCATGCCACCTACTGACAACTCGTTCATTTTTGAAAATAATACGTCACATCTCAAATTGCCTAGTGCTGCAACAGGAAGATTTAGAATTAAGTACAGCAACAATGTAAATATAAATAAAAGCTATCATGTTAATGTTACATAAGGGAATTAGTTTAATTTAATTTAATTTTATTTCTTTTTTTGCTAGAGAGCATGTACACTTGCCAGAGAGAGACAGATAGAGGGAAAAGGAGAAAGCATCCCCCAATATGGCATGGTCATACCATAATGCCCCTCCGTATTTCCATCCTGTCAAGATTTTAGACATGCACACAGATGTGCCAGAGTATTTCTCAAGTTAGGGAGGCCAGGATTTGAACCACACAGCTGTCCATATGGGATCTGGCTCCTTTAACCACTAGACCATGGGGCTGGCCCTATTTGCTATCTTAGGTATTTATAACATTTAAGAGAGCTGACGTTATTAGAAAATAGTGGAGAATATTAGAATACCTAAAAGAGTAACCTTTGAACCTGAGATTTCAATTTAAATGCTTACTTTAGATTTTTTTGATGACTAAATTTTTTAAGAATTATTTAATTTTGTTTATGATTATTACTTTTTAATTTGCTCTAGGGCCCATGTGCTCATAAGAGAGAGAGAGAGAGAAAGAGAGAGAAAACTGCCAGGTCCAAGACTTGAACCATAGTCAGCCATGTGAGAGTCCAGTACCCCAAACACCACACCACCTGCTGGACCCCCTGATGACTAAATGTTAAAAGAACCAAGAAAGCCCTAGGTTTGTAAACAGTATTGAAAAATTGAAGAGAACCTAAGAATTCCTATGTTTGTTAAGTTTAACTTGTTGTACTACAAGAACCGTTGACGTATGTGGGAAGATCTGTTCATTAGTCAAAATGATTAAGGTACTGAAAAGAAAATCATTAAATTTATGAATGTAGTTCAAAAGTCTTTAAGGCCAAACTTTAATCAAAGTCCTCTTCTTTTTTTTTTTTTTTTTTTAGAGGTTTTTGCCATAGGGCGCGTGCACTCGCCAGACAGAGACAGAAAGCGAGAAATCACCCACCAGGGGGGATGGCCACACCGCAATCCCTTGTCCTCCATTCTCCTCTTGGAATCTTGGGCACACATGCACATGCGCCCGGTGTGAGTTTTAAGCCACGGGGTCTGGGACGTGAACCACAGTCGACTACGTGGGAGTCCAGTGGCATAGCCATTACGCTAACTGCTGGTCCCAAAGGCCTCTTCTTAAGAAATAATAAGAAGAAAAAAGAAAGAGGGAGTGTCAGACAGGGAGAGAGAAAAAGCTATGTAAAATGGACATAAAAGCTTGAGAGTTTTGAACTTAAAGCTTAAGTAAATAAAATATATTTTTTTAAAGTAGCCTCTTTAGGTTTTTTTGACACTCTAGAATCACTGTAATGTCTACAGATTATGGTATCAGGAAGAATCTGGGCTGACTAAGAATGGTGTTGAACACCTTGTATTTTATAGAATTTACGGAGCAGTTAGTCCAATATTCCATGCAGTCTGGGCTTAAGTTTGAAACCAAGCTGCAGGTTGCCCTGTAAGGAAGGGGGAGCGGGTAGTGCCTGGCTTACATGGAGAGACCGAGTCCATCTGTGAAGTCCCCACTGAGAGGACTGATCCAAGCAAATCCAGCACAGATCCAGTCTGCCTTTTAGCCTTTTAAGGCAGAAAATCTAACTTTTCCATGTCCAAGTGTTGACTGGACTCAGGGACACTAACCTTTGCTATTAAGGTTCACAAGAGACAGAAAATTAAAACTCCGTGCCATTTTACTCTTTCGCAACATGAAATCTGCACACGCCCGGAGTTTGTGCATTAGTGTGACCTGTGTTTCCTCTTCATCCCAGTGAGGGCTGGACCTGAGAGAACAAAGCAGCTTTAAAAGGGGTTAGTTATGTGTTAGTCGGGCGCCCCCTTCTGGATGCAAGGAGGAGACACACATTCAGATTACGTTAGAGCTGGGGGTTTGCGGTTGGCATACCCACGAGATAATGCCTGCCCAACGCGGGTCCCAGAGGCTGAAAACTCAGAAGAACTGGAGGAGAACAAGCACAGGGCTGACTGCTGCTCAGGGGGCTAGCCACTTTCATTCGAGCCCGGTTTTGTGGGGACACTGGTACTTAGTCTTTACTAATGACCGAGGTCCACAGAGTTTTGCATCTCGATAAGCCAGTAAGTACATACACCCCTAAAAATCTAGCTCAGTAAACAGATTACATGAGGAGCCGAGCAGAGTGGGGGCAGAGGGGTTATAGGAACCCACTATACACCAGGCCTCCGCTGGAAACAGAAGAACTGAGGCCCAACTGCTGAGAAACATTTTGCAGGTTGTGACAGCATGGTGTATTGAGGAACTAAATGCAATCTTGGGTCCTGCCGGTGGCATGGTGCTTAAGGCAGCTAGATCCCACATGCCTAACTGTATGGTTCAATGCCAGACCTGGTGGCTTGAGAAACATGCGGGGTGTGATGTGTGTGTGTGTGCTCCGAATCCTGAGAAAATGAAAAAGAGACTGCGGCATGCCCATTCCCCCAAGGGTGCCTTCTCGCTTTTCCTTTCTCTTTCTCTCTGACTGTCGCTGCCTGGCAAATGCGCGTGCCCTCTAACAAATTTTCAAAAATAAATAAATACAACCTTGGCTGGAAAGTAGAGGGCAAAGGTGCGAGTAAGAGAGAATTGGCAAGGTAAACAAGCACGGAGGGTAGAAAGAATTATACCATGTAGAAAAGAATGTGGTCTTCATCAGAAGACATGAAAAAAATAAGTCACACTATTTACTGATCAGAAGAGAAATTGGGTACCTGGAGACATGAGAAGGATGGAAAGTTTTCAACTGAACACACATTTTGAACCAAGAAAATTATTCATTATTTTGAAAATTCACAAATAGAATGATTTAAAAATATTTTGAAACATTATCCTATCTACACTAATTCAAGTGGTGTACTAGGCACCAGGTGAGCATAACAGCAAATAAACCTTACAGTTAATCTCCTGGGGATTTCAGTTTTCTGGCCTGTCAGAGAGTCACACAGCTTTAGACAGACTCCTGATGTCAAAAGATGTGTAAGCAAGCAATTATGACATAAGCCACATAACAGTTGTTTTTCGCGTCCCATGTGCTAAGAGCTTTGAAAATACAGGTTGGGTGCTGGGTAATTCACTCTGCCTGAAGCCTGGTGAGAGGTAACTCATTAACTGGGTTTTGAAGAATGCATAGGAGCATGGGACTGGCAAGTGGCATGGTGGTTAGGAGCATTGGATTCTTACATGGCTGTGTGGTTTGAGTCCCAGGCCTGGTTTCTGTCTCTGTTTGCTCAAATTTAAAAATAATAATAACAAATGGAATTAAATAAATAATTTTTAAAAAAAGAATGCATAAGAGCTTCAAAAATGGAAAAGAGAGGAAGAGTAACCCGTCAAAGAGAAATGCAATTTTCTGAAAAAGCCTGAAATGTTCTCTGAGGAAAATGGTTTGGTGTGATGATCAGGGCAGTACAGGGACTGGCAGAGGTTGACCCTAACAGGCAGGATGAGCTCATTCAGACTTTCCATGTGGTCTTGAGTGTGATTTTCTACCCTAGAAAGTTCAAATTTTGATATTCTAGAAGTTGATGACTATGTACCTTTAGAAAAATTGATATTCTCTTCCCCCACATAGCAAAACAAACAAACAAAACAAGAACAAACACAAGAAAACCCACCTTAATGGAAAGATTTCTTTTTTATGTTCTCAGTTTTTCTTCTTATATTTTTAACTGAAATCTAGTCTTTTTACCTAGTTAATACAGAAAGTAAAAATAATCAGTATATAGCCAATAAATCATAAATGGGAAAGCCCAGAAGCATAATTAAGAGTGTCCTTTTTTTCCCCTTACCAAATATGTCCACAGTTGTGATTTTTCTATTTTATATATGATACTTTCTGTCACCAAGATTATTCCTCATGTGTATGTCAGAATTAACTATGATCTGTGTTTCATCTTTTCCACAAGAAGTAAAAGCTTCCTCCCAGTATGCAGCTCCAAGCTGGCCCAGGGTTTGTTTTATTTGGCTTAAACAGTTGTTTTAATCACAAAGTTGTTAATGTGCCTAGAGAAATCAAAACATCTAGCAATATGAGGTCCGCATTCTGCATAACAACAATCAAGTGGACCTAACGTCCCCTTTAGGAGTCGCCCCCACACCCATCGCCATTCCCAACCCCCTGCCAGGTCCCCACTCCCTGATCCCCTCCAAACCCTCTAAGCCTTTAGTTCCCCCACTAAAAATGGGGGATTTCCCAGGCAGTTTCTCAGGGCTTCCACCAGGGGGTGCTGTGATCAGAGTTTCTCAGAGAAGGGTGGAGAGGAAATGCTTGGAGCTGGTTCCATTAGGGAAGTGAAAGAAAACCCTCCTTTCCTTCCTGGAGAGGAAGCCCAAAGGAATAACTTCCCATGATCCAACTAAGCAAAGAGCTGGGACTAAGAGTCACTTATAGGCCAAGTGTTTTGAAAAGAGACTGAGAAGAAACAAAGCCATACTTTTCTGTGAGTTCTAACATTTGAGTAATACTTCATAGTTTAGAAAGCTCTCGGAGACAATGTCATTAGTCTGCACAGCCATTTTGTGTCAGACACAGGACAAGGTGGGGCTGGTCCCATAGTGCAGTGGTTAAGCACCAAGCAGAGGGAGCCGGATCCCACATGGGCAGCCAGGCTGGAGTCCTGGCCCTGGCAGCTTACATGCCGGCTGTGCTGTGTGCCCAGGACCCTGATGAGATGAGGGACTGAAGGCAAAAGTTTGCAGTGTGACCCCGACCCCTTCTCTTTCATGCATGTGCATGCACATGCACCCTGTGGCAGAATAAAAGAAATGAAATGGAGAAAAATGTCTGTTACTACACTAGACTCCCCTAACAGCACCCACTCAGCAAGAAAGAGACCGATCCCTGCCGTGATCACTTCCTCACACTCTCCCTTTTGGAGGAAGAGAAGAAAGACCCTGACAAAGACCAGGTGCCAAGACTATGGGATTAGAGGAAGGGAGCGAGGAGCAGGTGGCCAGAGGGGAAGTTAAGAAAGGTTTATGCTAGCGAATTTCCTAGTTGGACGGTGCCCTGCCATTGACTGGGACTCGTGCATCCACTGGTGTATCTCAGTTGCAATAAAAAACTCAGTGTAGGGACCAGCAGAGAGCGTAACGGTCACATCACTGGACTCCCACGTAGTCAACCATGGTTCGAGTCTCAGACCCGGCAGCTTAAAACACCCTGGGTGTATGTGCGTGCATTTTCAAAATCCTGAGAGGAGATTGGAAGAGAAGGAATTGTGATGTGGTCATCCTTCCTGCGGGGTGATTTCTCACTTTCTGTCTCTCAGGTGAGTACACACCACATACAGCAAAAAAAAAAAAAAAAAATCAAAACCAAAAAAACTCTTAAAAAAAAAAAAAGAAAAAAAAAAAAAACAAAAAAAAAATAAAAAACAAAAAAACTCTTAAAAAAAAAAAGGCAGTGTAATGGATGTTCAAAAAGTTAATGGGACATGCATACCATAATTTTATGCATGAATTATTATTATTTTTTGTACCAAAGTAGATTTGTATTTAATTCCACTTTCAACAAACTTTTTGAAGTCCACTTGTAGATAAACAGCTCAAGAATTTGTTGGACTTTCCCCTGCATATGGGAAGAGCTCTGATACCCCTTCAGTAAAAGGCGCAACTTTTTGTGGGTGTAGGCTGATGAAACCGAGGGCTGGGGACATTCTTACCTCTCACAAACCATGTTGTGGGTGCCCCCTAAGTTCCTTCCTTGGCCTTGACCAAGTGTCCTTGCAACTTTGGTTTTGAAGATATTATCAGTCAGGAAACAGAATCCAGCTTCCTCTTCCACTCTTCAGTTGCTTTTTCTCGGAGTCTGTTTTCTTTGGCTGCTCCAGGGAGGTTTGCTTTTCATCTCAACAGCACATGCTCTGTTCAGAGTGAAGGAAGGAGGCTGCAGCAGGATACAGTTGTCTGGGAAGGGAAGAGAGTTCCTTGCTTGGAGCTGTCCTTTCCAAAACATGGTCCCTATGAAGTAGATACCTGCTGATGTTTCTCTTTAATCTTCATCTCTCTACACAACCCCCCAACCAAAAAACTATGCATACTGCTTTGTTGTCCTTCGTTAACCATTATCACAGCCTCTATTTGCAGGCTCCCTTTCCCTGCATTCCTTCTTTTATCCTGTTTTCAACATCTTTGGTAAGTAAGACCAGCAACTAATGGTATAGGTCTGATCTACTCTACTAGTGTCATAAACATGGTCAAGTTCTTTTTTCAGACAGATGTTACAAGGCCAGAAGTGGCACAGTGATTAAGGCAACTGGATCCCTCTTGGCCAACTACGCTGTTTCAGTCTCAGATCTGGTGACCTGAAAATCACATCAGGCATGTGTGCATGTGTGCCGAAAATCCCTAAAAGAGAATAGAAGAGAAGGAACTGTGGTGTGGTCATCCCCACTGGAATGTGTTTTCTTACTTTCCCTCTCTCTCTGTCTCTCTGGCAAGTGGATGCGTCCTATAGAAATTATATATATATATATATGTATATACAATTCACATAACATAAAGTCATCATTTTAAAGTGTGCGATCCAGTAAGTTTTAATATATTTACTGTATCATGCATCAATCACTTCTGTCTCATTCCGAAACACTTCCATCACCACACACACACACAAAAACACACCTAGTACATACAGTCAATCTGACTCCCCTCCCCTCACCCCTAGCAACTCTCATCTGCTTTCTATCACTGTGAATTTGTCTATGTGGAACACTACATATAAATGGAATCATGAAATATGTGGATTTTTATGTTTGTTTTTTTTTTCACTTAGCACAACATTTTCATTTTCTTTTTTTAGAATTATTTGTTTCATTTATTATTATTATTATTTAATTTGACTAGAGAGAGAGGGAAAGTGAGAAAGCAATCCACTCAGTCTGGGACTCAAACCACTGTTGGCCATGTGGGAGTCCAGTGTCTTAACTACCATGCCACCCGCTGACCCCTAACACAATGTTACCAAGGTACATCCATGTTGTAGCATGTAATGGTACATTTCTTCTCATGGCTGAGTAATAGTCCGTGGTATGTATATATCACACTTTATTCTTGAGTTGATGGGCATTTGGATTATTTACATTTTTAGTCTTTTGCTAATAATGCTGGTATAAATGTTCATGTATAAGTATTGTGGGAACATACGTGTGCTCTCCAGTGAGAGAAGGAGAAAAAGAAAGAGAGAATGAGAGAGAGAAAGCATCTCCCAATGGGGCACAGTCACAAATCCCTTCTCTATTTCTCCATTCTGTTGGGATTTTGGGCAACACACATATATGTGTTTCTCAAGCTACTGAGGCTAGGACCCAAACCACAGTTGGCCATGTGGAAGTGGGATTTAGCTCCCTTAACTTCTAGGCCACAGTACCAGCCTGGTATTTAACTTTTTTGAAGAACTGCTAACCTATGTTCTACAATAGCTAGACCATTTTATATTCCCACCCCCCCACACACACACACCAGGGAGGATGGCCGTGCTACAATCCCTTCTCCTCTATTCTCCTCTTGAGATTTTGGGCACCCATATACATGCACCTGGTGTGAGTTTTAAGCCACCGAATCCAGATCTTAAACTGTGAGTCCAGCACTTTAACCTCTATGCCACCTGCTGGTCCCATTACCTTCCTTTTTAACTAAAGCAATTTTAGGGACCATTTAGATGGTCTAAATGAAGCTACCATCAGAGAAGGTGGATGAATATTTGCACAGTGGTCATTAGGTGACATTTGACAGTCAATGGAAACTGGGTGAAGAAGGGGTTGTGGAGTGGTATCCCTGCTAGGAGGTGTTTTCTCACTATCGTGGAACAGGTGTTCAAATCTCTTACCCTCATCAATTCCAGAATTATGTTTTGGCATTTAGGACATGGAGAAGAGGTCTGAAAACATTTAATAAATGTATAGAATGGGCAGAAGGATGTAGTCCTATATTTTGTCTCTTTGTGTAAGACTTCTGGGGGCTCTTTGGACCTGGGCTTCAGAGGACCTCTGTGGCAGGACAATGCCCTTTTTTTTTTTTTTTTTTAATGCCCTTTATAAGTGTGTAGGGTGTTGAGGAAATGTGGGAGGACTTTTCTATAGAACTACCTCTTTTCATGTTCCCTTTAAAGTACACAATGAAACAAAACACTGATATGGTCAAAGAATTTATTTTTAGAATATTCAATAGATTCAAGGGGTCTTGTCATAAAAATTCCATCAACTTACTAAAAAACTCACATTTAGCACAGCTCAACGATTGAACAATAGCTGGTGGTGTGTGTTTTCGAGGACTTTGAATGGGAATGCAGAACTTCAATTTTTATAAGCACAGAGCAGGAAACTGTAGGTAGAGTGTCAATTTGAAACCATCTCTGCCCATCTTTGAGCTGCTGTCACCTGAATGATGTGCTAAAACACTTGTTGACATTAACAGAAGAAATCTTGTCTGATTTTAGGTGAAACTTCTAACAAAGGCGAATGAATGCTCTTGGATGAAGAATATGTCTTTATAACTAAACTCTACAAATGTAACCATATAAAGAGTCTTTCATGACAAATAAAAAACTTCAAATCAACTCTTTTGCATTGGGTAAATTGCTCAGCCTTTGACAAGTATGAAAACGTTTTCTTTCTCTTTCTCTTTTAGGATCAGAATGAGGAACCAGCAGAATTCCTAACACCGGTCCCATTCTTTCTTGTTGGTATTGTCCTATGATTATCTCTTTAAGTGTTGTTTGTCATAAGTAGTATGAATTATGACTGAGCACTCATGTAAGACTTCCTAAGTTTACAAAATGAATACAGGGAAGACCATCTTCATAGCAGAGTGGTTGAGGGAGTCAGATCCCACATGGCAGACTGCCCAGTTTAAATTCTGATCCATGCAACTTGAAAAACATGCTGGGTGCATGTGTAAGCAAGCTCCAGATCCTGACAGAATGGCCAAATGGAGGGAACCAGCAGTTAGCGTAATGGCTATGTCGCTGGACTCCCACGTAGTCAACCGTGGTTCGTGTCCCGGACCCGGTGGCTTAAAACTCATGCCGGGCTCATGTGTGTGCGTGCCCAAGATCCTGAGAGGAGAATGGAGGAGAAGGGATTGCGGTGTGACTATCCCCCCTGGGGGATGATTTCTCGCTTTCTGTCTCTGTGTCTCTCTCTATCTGGCGAGCACACGCGCCCTATAGCAAAAACCTCTCCAAAAAAAAAAGAATGACCAAATGGAGGAAAAAAGATTGTGGTATGATCACACCCCATTTGCCCATTTGGGCAGCGCTTTCTCTCTCTCCCTCCCTCTCATAGGTACACACACCTCTGGCAATTTGAGGGCATTTTTCTCCCTAAAAGTTTACAAGTTTACAATATGTATAAATAAATCTACAAATAAATAAATATAATACAAGGTGAAATATAGCACAGGCTAAGTGGTAGGTTGGAACCTACTAATATGGAAATTAAAAAGATGGAGAAATAACTTTCAGCTGGAGTCGAGAGAGGTCAAAGCGTATTTTGAGTGGGGAGTTCATCATGGTGCCAGAATATCTAGAAAGAAAAATTTTAAAAGGAAACGATCAGTCAGATTTGGGGTGATCTAGCTAGATACTCTGTTAGAAAAAGATAATTTTCACATATGCCACATTTAGGTCTTGTTTCTTTCTGTTTGCAGGGTGAAGAATTATTATTTTTTTAAAGAATTATTTTATTTAACTTTATTTACTATCACTATCATTATTATTTTCCAGTTTGATCAGAGAGAGAGAGAGGAAGTGAGAAAGCAAGCCACCAGGTCCAAGACCTGAACCGTGGTCGGCCATGTGGGAGTCCAACACCTTTAACCACCATGCCCCTTGCCAGCCCCAAAGAATTGATTTTTTAAGACTTAAAAACTCTGCAGTTTCTCTTATCAAAGGCCATTATAATAACAAATGTTTTCTCTCACCTCCTGCATTTTTTTCCTAATCTGAATACATTGCTTCTCAATGTTCTCTTCTAGTTCAAGGTTTTATTACTTGTTTTAACATTTTAAAACAATAAGAAAATGACCAGCTTCTCCCAATCATATATATAGAAATGTATGTACCTTGGGATTTTGATATTCTTTGAGGAAGGCCATGTTGATTTCAAGTGTCATACAGGGAGCCCACAAGTCTAGAGACTGGAACTTTGCTAGCCAATTATTAGGGCTCTTAATGAAACAGTATGTAGAGTGTTGAAGAAATATGGGGGGACTTTTCTATAGAACTACCCTCTAAAAATGTTTAAAAGCCAATGACTCAGAGGAGAAACATCAAAAACTCCCCATTCTGGGACCTGCAGATAGCATAATGATTATATTGCTGGACTCCCACATAATGGGCAGTGGTTGAGTCCCAGACTTGGAGGCTTAAAATTCACGCTAGGCACGTGTGCATGCGTGCCTAAGATCCCGAGAGAATGAAGGAGAAGGGATTGTGACATGGCCATCCCCCTGGGGGGGAAATTCTTGCTTTCTGTGTCTCTGTCTCTCCAGTGAGCACATGTGCCCTATAGCAAAAATCTCTCTAAAACAAAACAAAACACCTTCCCTCTCTGCCTCTCTTTATCAAGAAGAGCAGTCAGGAAAGAATGCAATGATGGCAGAAAAGGTCGTAGTGATGCAATTCTTGGCTTTGAAGGTGGAAGAAGACCATGAGCCCAAGAATGTGGGCAGCTCTAGAAGCTGGAAATGGTGATACCAGCAACTTTTCATGTTAAAAATGCTCAACAAACTAAGAGTAAGAAAGAATTTCCTCATTCCAAAAAAGAAGATCTGAGAAAAACCCGCATCCTACTTAGTAGGAGAAAAACTACTTTCCTCTAAAATCATGAATAAGACAAGGATGTGTACTTGTTTTATTACATCAATTCAACATTGTACGATAGGCTCCAGTCAAGCCACGAGGCAAGAAAAAGTAATAGCACCCTTACTGGAAGATGAGTAAAACCATCTCTATTCACAGATGACATGACCTTGTACATAGAAAACCCTGAGTAGTCACTAAAAAATGCTATTGTATCTAGTAAGTGAATTTAACAAGGCAGCAGAATAAAAGAACAACATACAAAAGCAATTGTATTTCTATATACTAATGAATAAAAACTGAAAAAATTAAGAAATGTATAGTACTATCAAAAAGAATAAAACACTGGGAACCAGCAGTTAGCGTAATGGCTATGTCGCTGGACTCCCACGTAGTTGACTGTGGTTTGTGTCCCGGGCCCAGTGGCTTAAAACTCACACCGGGCGCGTGTGTGTGCGTGCCCAAGATCCCGAGAGGAGAATGGAGGAGAAGGGATTGCGGCGTGACCATCCCCCCTGGGGGGTGATTTCTCGCTTTCTGTATCTCTGTCTCTCTCTGTCTGGCGAGCGCATGTGCCCCATAGTGAAAAACCTCTCAAAAAAAAAAAAAGAATAAAACACTTAGAAATGAACTTAACAGAATAAGCACAAAACTGGGATTCTGGAAGCTCTAAAACATAGTTGAAAGAAATTAAAGAAGACTTAAATAAATGGAAAGACGTCTTATTTTCATTGATTGGAAGACTTACTATGTTAAGATGACAATGTTCCCCAAATTGATCTATAGGCTCAAGGCAATCCTATCAAAATCTCATGTGGGAGTCAGCAGGTGGCATAGTGGTTAAAGACTCCCACATGGTCAAACGTAGTTCAAGTTCCAGACCTGGCTGCTTAAAACTCACACTGGACAGGTGTGAGTGTATGCCCAAAATCTCAAGAGAAGAATGAAGAAGAAGGGTCTGTAGTGTGCCCATTACCCCTGGGGAGGGGGTGATTTCTCACTTTCTCTCCCGCTGCCTCTCTCTGTCTCTGTCTCTGGTGGGCACACATGCCCTATAGCAAAAACATCTGTCTCACAAAAAAGAAATCTCATTTATCTTTTTTGGTGGATGTTGACAAGTTAAACTTAAAATTTATATGGAAAATAAAGGAAAAAAGAAAAGCAAAAAAAAAATTTTAAAAACAAAGCAAAATGTAAAGTTGAAGGATTCACACTTCCTGATTTTAAAACTTACTAAAAAACTACAAATATTAAGTCATTTTTGGTACAGGCACAAAAATAGGCATACAGTTCAATGGGACAGAATTGAGAGTCCACAAAGCCTTACATTCATCTTCATTGACTTTTGACATGAGTCTCAAAACAATTCAATTTGGGAGAAAAATAATTTTTTCATAGAATGGTGCTGGAACAACTAGATAACCACATTTAAAGTGCAACAATCTAAAACTATAAAACTCTTTGAAAAAAAAAAAACCCAAAGGTATAGTCTTTATAAACTTGGATTAGTCCAAACCTTCCTAATGACACAAAAAACACAAGTACAAAAGAAAAATACTAGATATAGTGGAGTTTATCAAAATCACAAACTTTTAGACTTCAAAGGACACCATCAAAAACTTGAAAGGTCAACCCACAGAATAGGAAAGAGTATTTGCAAGTTATATATCTGATAAGGAACTTGTGTTCAGAATATATAAAGCATAAACTACATTTATAATTCAATAATAATAAGACAAATGTTTCAACTTAAGAATAGACAAAAGATATGAATTATTCAGAAGAAGAATAAATGGCCAAAAAGCACAAGAAAGATGCTTGATATCATAATCAATTAGGGAAATGCAAAGAAAAACCACAATGGCTTATCACCTAGCCAATTAGGATGGCTAAAATAAAAAAGACAGGTAATTAACCAGTATTGGTGAAGAGGCATAGGAACTGAAATGTTCACATATTTCTGGTGGGAATGTAAAATGATTCCGCCACTATGCAAAACAGTTCAGCAATTCCTCAAAATGTTACATATAGGGACCAGCAGTTAGCGTAATGGCTATGTCGCTGGACTCCCACGTAGTCGACCGCGGTTCGAGTCCCGGACCCAATGGCTTAAATTCACGCCGAGTGCTCATGCGTGCGTGCCCAAGATCTCGAGAGGAGAATGGAGGAGAAGGGATTGCAGCGTGGCCATCCCCCCTGAGGTGTGATTTCTCGCTTTCTGTTTCTCTGTCTCTCTCTGTCTGGTGAGTGCATGGGCCCTATAGCAAAAACCTCTCCAAAAAAAGAAAAAAAGAAAGTTACATATAGAGTTGCCATATGACACAGCATTTCTACTCATAAGAATATATCCAGGAAAAATGAAAATGTATGTCCACACAAAACATTTATACAAATATTCATAACAGAATTATTAATAATAGCAAAAATATGGAAACTCAGGTGTCATCAACTGATGAATGGTGGGGGAAAATGTAGTATTCCTATACAATGAATATTATTCTGTTATGAAAAGGAATTGACCACTACTACATTCTGTAACAGAGCTAAAACCTGAAAACATGCTACGTGAAAGAAGACAGTCACAAAAGGCCACATCTGATATGATTTCATTTATATAAAAGGTCCAAAATAGGCAAATCTATAGAAAAATAAATTAGGTTAGTGAATGTCTAGGGTTAGGAGGAAATGGGAAGTGATCACTAATTGTTAAATGGTTCCTTCTGGAAGTGATGAAAATGTTCTAAATTTGATTTTGATTATATTTGCAAGTGCTGGGAACATAGTAAAAACTACTGAATTATAGACTTTAAATGAGTAAATTCTTTAATATATGAAATATTGCACAAATTAGTAGTCCCCTAGGAGGGGCAGAAGGAGAGGGAGAGTTTCAATAAAGCTATAACTCCAGCTGGGCCTGAAAAAGGTGAAATATTTGTAGAAAAGTAGAGAGGAGTTGGATATGTGGCCTTGCCCGTGAGTGACATCACAAAGACAGAAAAGATAAAACATGAAGGATGTGTTCAAAATATTGGGCTCCAGTCAAGGATTAGGAGGGAGCAATGGAAAAAGTATTGAAACATGTGAATTTTATGGGTTAAAATGGTAGGTTGTGCAAATTTGCATTTCTATTATCAATGAGGATTTTTTTTTTTTTTTTGGAGAGATTTTTGCTATACAGTGCATATGCTCACCAGACAGACAGGGAGAGAAAGCGAGAAATCACAGCCCCCTGAGGGAGGGATGTCCATGCCACAATCCCTTCTCCTCCATTCTCCTCTTAGGATTTTGGGCACACACGCCTGGCATGTTTCAAGCTGCTGGTATGGGGACTCAAACTACGATCAGCCATGTAGGAGTCCAGCAACATAACCATTACGCCATCTGCTATTCCCTAGGATGTATTTTCAATATTCTTTTTTCTTTGTAATTCATGAGTTTTATATAAATTAGTATGTACTACAACTTATATTACACACACACACACACACACACACACAGGTTTTTATATTTAACTCACAAGTCTATCTGAATTATGGTATAGAAATCTATTTTTATTGTTATTATTTTTTAAATTTCTATTATTATTATTATTTTAAATTTGCTACAGGGCACATGAGCTCACCGAGAGCGAGAGGGACTGTGAGAAAGCAAGCTGCAAGGTCCAGGACTCAAATCATGTTCAGCCATGTGGGAATCCAGCACCTTAACTACCTGCCACCTGCTGGCCCCTTGTTTTGTTTTTTTATATGTACATATCAGATTTTTTCAACCTGCCACCTGCTGGCCCCTTGTTTTGTTTTTCATATGTACCTATCAGATTTTTTCAGCCTCACCTGTGAAGTAATCCACCCTTCCCATGTATATAAAATGCCTCCTTTGGGGCTGGCCCAATGGCTTAGTGGTTAAGGAAACCAAATCCCGCATGGTCGATTGTTTAAATCCAAGTTCCCAGAGGCTTGAAAAAATACTCTGAGCACATGTGCATGCATTCTCCAGATCTTAACAGGACAGAGAAATGGAGGAGACGGGATTGTGGTGTGATCACTCCCAATTGGCAGGAGCTTTCTCCCTCTCTCTTTGTCTCTCTGTCTCTGACAAGTACACTTGCCCTCTGACAAATTAAAAATAAAAGAATAAAATAAAATGCCCCCTTGATCACATAGACAGTAGCTCCAAGTCAATTGGCCTGTTTGCACTCTGGTTCCTTATGCTCCCTGGCAGAGCAAAGTGTCATGCAGTTCAGAAAGATCTGTCTAGAAGAGAACATTGGAAGCCTTCTAAATAAGCAATAATAAGAGGTTATGGTGGATTCAACAGAATCACTCCACAGAACACTGTCGGAGACATCATATGATCTGGCAAGTGTCACCACAGCTACCTCTGGGTGGTGACATTACCAGTGTTTCTTACTTTTCTTTTTCCTCCATTCAAAACCTCTTTAATTAGATATCCAGAAGACACATAAAAAACATCAATAAAAGGAAACACTTTTAAAAAAATCCACAAAGGTTTATAAAGAACGCATTCACAGGTAGTCTGGGTTTGTTACAAAGCACTGCGTTATTCCAGGTTCAAAGGCTGCTGGAGATGTTTGTGCTGAAGTCCACCTGGCTGGCCTTTCCCAGGGGTGACCATCTAGGAGTGTGAGCCTGCAGGCTCCCAATCCATCCTGATCGACCTAAACTCTCTTCCTCCAGGGGCGGCACTACCCTCTCTCCTCCTTTGCCTAAAACCTGACTCGGAGGATCTCCCGTAGCTGATGAACAAGGGAGCGAGCTCGGAGAAAGGTACTGCATGTATCCCCCAGGAGAGAATTCCACAGAACCCTCCTATTGGTGCAACCCAGTTGTCTCATTGAAAGCCACGTGTCTTCCTTGAGTTTTGAGGAAGCAAACACGGGGGGGGCCCACAGTCCCTCACATAAGACAAACATTCACTGGGAGGGGCTGCCTCGTGTAAAGTTGACCTGGACAACCAACATAAGGTATGTTAGGTATGCGGGAACCAGAGCAGAAAAAGCATTTCAGGTTCCACTTGGAAGAAAGATATGACCAAGTAGGTGGGATGTGGCATCTCCCTGACCTGAGCAGTATCCTGTAGGGCCTGGTGCACTTGTGAGGCCTGTCTGCCTCAAGTCCTCACTTAGGTAATAAAGACGCTAACATCTATGTTACTGAGCTGTCATGAGACTATAAGGACCTGCGTTACCAAACACTGGGCAGGGCCCAAGTTTTTTTTTTTTTTTTTTTAATTTTATTTTTTATTATCATCATCATCATCTTCTTTATATTACTTTGGATTACATATAACTTTACAGTGTATTACATTGTTTTTTCAAAAGGGAATGCCATGCATGTCAGTCAGTACAGAGACATTAATCTCCCCACTTCAACATTCCATATCTTTTCTGTTTTCCCCAATCATTATTTTTATTATTCTAATTATTTTTTAAAACAGTCAATTGCTATTTCTCATTTTGCTTGTAAAAATACTTTGCCCATCATGAAATACTTCTCAGACCAATCCAGTTGAGAATACTATACATGTCATCATCAACAGTTAATAAGCCCTATCTGTTTCTCACTAACGTCCTGTCTCTCTATTGTTCACTTGCTATCTTTCTCTATCCTCTTCTCTTCACTTACCCCATTCCACACTGTCCTATTCTCATTAAGTACCTTCACTGTTTTTATGTCCTCCGATTTTTTGCTCTTTATTATAGAGTGCGGGTAGTCGGTGTATATTGAGTGGATACATACAATATCTTTCATAGCCTGGCTTACTTCACTCAGCAATAGATCCTCCATATCTGACCATTTTCTATCAAATTCCAGGGTCTTGTGGCAGGGCCCAAGTTTTCTGAGGCATGCGTGTCCTTCCACATAGTCCTGCCTCTCAGGCACAGAAGGCTCTACCACCCCTGCACC